GATGTTCGTCTTCGGTGGGGGAATAAGTAACCACGACCACCACTCCTCGCCTCCGGTTGATGGGAAGGCGAGCCCAAAGTAACCTGGGGCTTACAGCTTCCCACACCTCATCGCCACGCTCCCACGCACCCTTCATTCTTTTGTTCAAAAGAAGAGCCACACCCTGTTGTTTGGCAGTCTGCTGCCCCGAGTAGAGGATTGTCCACCCCTCATGGTGGCAGGAGCCAGAAACCGGTCCACCGGACCTCCTGAATGGCACAGAGATCCAGGCGGTACCGGTCCAGCTCCCGACAGAGGAGTGGCAGCCTCTCCTCTGCAGTGAGCGTTCGAACATTCCACGTGGCCCCACGAAGTGGCTTTTCGTTGTTTCTGGAGGAGCCCCGAGGGTGGAGATTAAATCTCCTGGCTCCGCCAATTGGGGTTTGGCCAGGAGACGTCATAGACGCCTGTCCCCCCGGGGCCTCCGGCACAAGCTTATTAGTTATATATTTAAGTCGTGGTTTCGTGGTAATTTTTTTAAGGTTTGAGGGGTTACCAGCCCCTCGCACCCGTCCAGAGCCCCCGTTTAGCCACTGTGGTGGTCACAGACGCCATGAGGGGAGAGGACCAATAGGAATTGGCCCTCTCCCCACAGCGCTGTCCACGACAGAGTTGCCCGTCCGGCACCGCGAGGAGGTAGGGGGTTGTTTTGCCGGACAAAACACACAGCAACACACACACACACGACTACACAGCATCATGACTACACAGCATCACACACAGTACTACACACACAGTGACTACACAGCATCACACACACAGCAACACACACAGTATTACACAGCACCACACAGACTCCATCACACACCCACAGCACCACACTGGGCACCACACTCACAGCACCACACTCACAACACAGCACCACACTCACAACACCACACTCACAGCACCACACTCACACAGCACCACACTCACACAGCACCACACTCACAGCACCACACTCACAGCACCACACTCACAACACGGCACCACACTCACAACACGGCACCACACTCACAACACCACACTCACAACACGGCACCACACTCACAGCACCACACTCACAACACCACACTCACAATAAAGCACCACTCTCACAACACCACACTCACAGCACAGCACCACACTCACAAGACAGCACCACACTCACAGCACCACACTCACAACACGGCACCACACTCACAATAAAGCACCACTCTCACAACACCACACTCACAGCACAGCACCACACTCACAACACAGCACCACACTCACAACACAACACCACACTCACAGCACCACACTCACAGCACCACACTCACAGCACAGCACCACACTCACAACACAGCACCACACTCACAACACCACATTCACAGCACAGCACCACACTCACAGCACAGCACCACACTCACAGCACCACACTCACAACACAGCACTCACAGCACAGCACCACACTCACAACACCACACTCACACCACAGCACCACACTCACAGCACAGCACCACACTCACAGCACCACACTCACAGCACCACACTCACAGCACCACACTCACAGCACCACACTCACAATACGGCACCACACTCACAATACGGCACCACACTCACAACACGGCACCACACTCACAACACGGCACCACACTCACAACACCGCACTCACAGCACAGCACCACACTCACAGCACAGCACCACACTCACAACACCACACTCACAACACAGCACCACACTCACAACACCACACTCACAACACGGCACCACACTCACAACACCACACTCACAGCACAGCACCACACTCACAATAAAGCACCACACTCACAACACCACACTCACAGCACAGCACCACACTCACAACACAGCACCACACTCACAGCACCACACTCACAACACAGCACCACACTCACAGCACCACACTCACAACACAGCACCACACTCACAGCACCACACTCACAGCACCACACTCACAGCACAGCACCACACTCACAGCACCACACTCACAACACCACACTCACAGCACAGCACCACACTCACAACACAGCACCACACTCACAGCACCACACTCACAGCACCACACTCACAACACAGCACCACACTCACGGCACCACACTCACAACACAGCACCACACTCACAACACCACACTCACAACACGGCACCACGCTCACAACACCACACTCACAGCACAGCACCACACTCACAATAAAGCACCACACTCACAACACCACACTCACAGCACAGCACCACACTCACAACACCACACTCACAACATAGCACCACACTCACAGCACAGCACCACACTCATAGCACCACACTCACAACACAGCACCACACTCACGGCACCACACTCACAACACAGCACCACACTCACAACACAGCACCACACTCACGGCACCACACTCACAACACAGCGCCACACTCACGGCACCACACTCACAGCACAGCACCACACTCACAACACAGCACCACACTCACAACACAGCACCACACTCACGGCACCACACTCACAACACAGCACCACACTCACAACACAGCACCACACTCGCAGCACCACACTCACAACACAGCACCACACTCACGGCACCACACTCACAACACAGCACCACACTCACAACACCACACTCACAACACGGCACCACGCTCACAACACCACACTCACAGCACAGCACCACACTCACAATAAAGCACCACACTCACAACACCACACTCACAGCACAGCACCACACTCACAACACCACACTCACAACACAGCACCACACTCACAGCACAGCACCATACTCACAGCACCACACTCACAACACAGCACCACACTCACGGCACCACACTCACAACACAGCACCACACTCACAACACAGCACGACACTCACGGCACCACACTCACAACACAGCACCACACTCACGGCACCACACTCACAGCACAGCACCACACTCACAACACAGCACCACACTCACAACACAGCACCACACTCACGGCACCACACTCACAACACAGCACCACACTCACAACACAGCACCACACTCACAGCACAGCACCACACTCACAACACGGCACCACACTCACAACACAGCACCACACTCACAGCACAGCACCACACTCACGGCACCACACTCACGGCACCACACTCACAGCACAGCACCACACTCACAGCACAGCACCACACTCACAGCACAGCACCACACTCACAGCACAGCACCACACTCACGGCACCACACTCACGGCACCACACTCACGGCACCACACTCACGGCACCACACTCACGGTACCACACTCACAGCACCACACTCACAACACCACACTCACAACACCACACTCACAGCACAGCACCACACTCACAACACAGCACCACACTCACAACACCACACTCACAACACAGCACCACACTCACAACACCACACTCACAACACAGCACCACACTCACAGCACAGCACCACACTCACGGCACCACACTCACAGCACCACACTCACGGCACCACACTCACAGCACCACACTCACAGCACAGCACCACACTCACGGCACCACACTCACGGCACCACACTCACAACACAGCACCACACTCACAACACAGCACCACACTCACGGTACCACACTCACGGCACCACACTCACAGCACAGCACCACACAGCACCACACTCACAACACCACACTCACAGCACAGCACCACACTCACAACACAGCACCACACTCACAACACCACACTCACAACACAGCGCCACACTCACAGCACCACACCACACTCACAACACAGCACCACACTCACAACACAGCACCACACTCACAACACACACTCCACACCAGCCCGCACATTACATAAAACAGCACACACACGGCACAGTACAATATAGCATGCAGGACATAGCACACATGATATTGTGCACAAGACATAGCATACATGGTGTGCGGTATAGACGTAGCAAATACACAATACATCAACAATAACATAGCAAACAGTAGCAACAGCACACAGGGCAGCAGCAGGCCCCACACAAGGCAGCACACAAACACACAATCATAGCCTCCAGCAAGACACAGCACACACCACGACAGTACACAACACACAGCATGCGCATAGTTTACACAGATCACAAAGGACATCGTGCACACACAGCACACGATAAAAAGCACACTCAGAAGACAAGACCGCACTCATAGCCGACAATTCATAGCACGCGTGCATGCACAGTACACACGAAGACATAGCAACACACATAGCAAGACTCAAAACAGCAGACACCACGAGGCTAGTACAGCCCCCACGCACAGCACGCGAGACTCAAAAGCATAGCATGCTTCAAATAACTCACAGCACAAGGCAGCACACACTGGACTGATAACACAGCACACAACAGCACATTACGCAAAACTCATAGCGCATACACAGAATAGCACAGCATGTGGAGAGATACATAGCCTATGACACAGCACACAAAACCTAACTCAGGATGCAAAACAGCACGCAAGATTCACAGCATAACAGACAGTCGCAATGCATAGCATACAGACCACCAGAATTATAAAAATAATAGTACACTACATAGCTCACAGCACGACACAACAGCAGTCATGACAGCAAGAGACAGCACGCTCAACACAGCGACTCAACACAGACACTCTGCAGACAGCACGGGAGGCAAGTATATCGCACCCGGCATAGCACACAGAACACAGCAACAGACACAGCACTTCACTCAATCATCACACAACCCTCAAAAGTACACACAACATAGCATAAACAGCGGCACACGCGACCCAAAGCATAGCATGCAACAAAGTATAGCACACAACACAGGGGACAGCAGCACACTGGTCTCAAAGTATAGAAAGCATCATATCAGACAGCACCACACACGACTCTAAGTATAGCAGACAGCATAGCACACGTCACGCAAGAATCAAAGTAGTGCGCCGCATAGGAGACAGCAGCTGACAGCGTACATTCAAAGTGCAGCAGACAACACAGCACTCATCACTCAACACTCAAAGTACAGCACTCATAGCAGCACACGCACAGCTACCCGAGGTATCAGCAGCAGCAGCAGCTGTTGCCCCGCGCTCAGACAAAGGCACTCGGCACCGTCACCTGTGCGTGCCCGAGGTAACCGGGGCCGGCTATGGCGTCTCCCCCTCTGCTCCCCCTCTGCTCCCCCTGCTCCCCCTCTGCTCCCCAGGACAGATGATCGCCTCTATCGCGAGTGGGAGCGACCCCGCGTCTCCCCCCCCATGCATCCCCCTTCCTTCTCCCCTCCCCCCACTCGATCCTTCCCCTACCCCCACTGCTCCCACCTCCTCCTCCCACCTCCTCCCTCCCTCCCCCCTCCTCCTCCTACTTCGACCCCCATGCATCCCCCTTCCTTCTCCCCCCACCTCCCCCACTCGTACTCCCCCTCCTTCCCGTCCAGCGAGGGGCAGCACCCCCCACCTCAACCCCACCCCCCACCCTACCCCCCACATCGCATTCATCACCATCATCACTGCCATCATCACTGCCATCACTGAGCCGAACACACCTCGCCTCGCCCATTGAATGTAACGCAAACATCATCAACATCACTGCTATAAATTAACGACGGTATTTCCATCCACCATCGCTACCATCATCACCACCATCGCTACCATCATCATCATCTACATCACCACCATCGCTACCATCATCATCTACATCACCACCATCTCTTCCATCATCATCCCCATCACGACCATCGCTTCCATCATCATCCCCATCACTACCATCATCATCTCCATCACCACCATAGCTAGCATCATCATCATCACCATCCCTATGACCACCATCGCTACCATCATCACCATCATCATCCCTATAACCACAATCGCTACCATCATTACCCCATCACCACCATCGCTACCATCATCATTCCCATCACCATCGCTACCATCATCATCCACATCACCACCATCGCTACCATCATCACCATCTACATCACCACCATCGCAACCATCATCACCATCATCATCCCTATAACCACCATCGCTACCATCATTATCCCCATCACCAACAGCGCTACCATCACCACCACCATCATCATCATCCACATCACCACCATCGCTACCATCATCACCCCCATCACCACCACCATCATCATCATCCACATCACCACCATCGCTACCATCATCACCATCTACATCACCAACATCATCATCATCCCCATCACCACCATCGCTTCCATCATCATCCCCATCACCACCATCGCTACCATCATCATTCCCATCACCACCATCGCTACCATCATCATCCCCATCACCACCATCACCACCATCATCACCATCATCGCCATCACCACCATCGCTACCATCATCCCCATCACCCCCATCACTACCATCATCATCCACATCAACTACCATCGCTTGCATCATCATACTCATCACCACCATCACCATCCCGATGACCACCATCGCATCCATCATCATCCCCATCACTATCATCGCTTCCATCATTATCCCCATCACCACCATCATCCACATCGCCATCGCTACCATCATCACCATAAACATCCCTATAACCACCATTGCTACCATCATCCCCATCACCACCATCATTACCATCGTCATCCACATCACCACCATCGTTTCCACCATCATTACCATCGTCATCCACATCACCACCATCGCTTCCATCATCATCCCCATCACCACTATCACTTCCATCGTCATCCCCATCACCACCATCACCACCATCACTAGCATCATCATACCGATCACCACCATCGCTACCATCACCACCATCACCATCCCTATGACCACCATCGCTACCATCATCACCACCATCGCTACCATCATCACCACCATCGCTACCATCATCACCACCATCGCTACCATCATCACCATCAACATCCCTATTGCCACCATCGCTACCACCATCCCCATCACCACCATCGATACCATCATCACCACCATCGCTACTATGATCATCCACATCACCACCATTGCTACCATCATCACCATCATCATCCCTATAACCACCATCGCTACCATCATTATCCCCATCACCATCGCTACCATCATCCACGTCACCACCATCACTAGCATCATCATACCGATCACCAAGATCGCTACCATCACCACCATCACCATCCCTATGACCACCATCGCTATCATCATCATCCCCATCACCCCCATCGCTACCATCATCATCTCCATCACCACCATCTCTTCCATCATCATCCCCATCACCCCCATCGCTACCATCATCATCTCCATCACCACCATCTCCTTCCATCATCATCCCCATCACCACCATCGCGACCATCACCATGTCCTTTACCACCATGGCTACCATCATTATCCCCATCACGACCATCGCTACCATCACCACCATCACCATCCCTATGACCACAATCGCTACCATCATCATCCCCATCACCACCATCGCTACCATCATCATCATCCCCATCACTACCATCATCCACATCACCACCATCACTAGCAGCATCTTATCGATCACCACCATTGCTACCATCACCAACATCACATCCCCATCACCCCCATCGCTACCAACATCATCCCCATCACTGCCATCGTCATCGCCATCACCACCATCACTGCCACCGTAATCCACATCACCACCATCTCTTCCATCATCATCCCCATCACCACCATCGCTACCATCATCATCCCCATCACCACCATCGCTACCATCATCATCCCCATCACCACCATCACTGCCATCATCATCCACATCACCACCATAGCTAGCATCATCATACACATCACCACCATTGCTACCATCATCACCATCATCATCCCTATAACCACCATCGCTACCATCATTATCCCCATCACCATCGCTACCATCATCCACGTCACCACCATCACTAGCATCATCATACCGATCACCACGATCGCTACCATCACCACCATCACCATCCCTATGACCACCATCGCTATCATCATCATCCCCATCACCCCCATCGCTACCATCATCATCTCCATCACCACCATCTCTTCCATCATCATCCCCATCACCCCCATCGCTACCATCATCATCTCCATCACCACCATCTCCTTCCATCATCATCCCCATCACCACCATCGCGACCATCACCATGTCCTTTACCACCATGGCTACCATCATCATACACATCACCACTATCGCTACCATCACCACCATCACCATCCCTATGACCACCATCGCTACCATCATCATCACCATGTCCATTACCACCATCGCAACCATCATCACCCCTATAACCACCATTGCTACCATCATTATCCGCATCACCACCATCGCTACCATCATCCCCATCACCATCGCTACTATCATCATCCACATCACCACCATCACTAGCATCATCATCCACATCACCACCATCGTTACCATCATCATCATCCCCATCACCACCATCATCATCCACATCACTACCATCGCTAGCATCATCACTCATCACCACCATCCCGATGACCACCATCGCTTCCATCATCATCCCCATCACTATAATCTCTTCCATCATTATCCCCATCACCACCATCACTACCATCATCCACATCACCACCATCACTACCATCGTCATCCACATCACCACCATCACTTCCATCGACAACCACATCACCACCATCGGTAGCATCATCATCCCCATCACCATCATCACCACCATCACTAGCATCATCATACCGATCACCACCATCGCTACCATCACCACCCCTATGACCACCATCGCTACCATCATCACCATCACTACCATCATCACCACCATCGCTACCATCATCGCCACCATCATCACCACCGTCGCTATCATCATCATGTACATCACCACCATCGCTACCATCATCACCATCAACATCCCTATTACCACCATCGATACCATCATCACCACCATCGCTACTATCATCATCCACATCAACAACATCGCTACCATCATCGCTACCATCATCGCTACCATCATCGCTACCATCACCACCATCATCACCACCATCATCATCGCGATCACCACCATCCCCATCACCACCATCACTACCATCATTATCCCCCTCACCACCATCGCTACCATCATTATCCCCATCACCACCATCGCTTCCATCATTATCCCCATCACCACCATCGCTAATATCATCATCCACATCACCACCATCACTAGCATCATCATACCGATCACCACCATCATCACCCACATCACCACCATCATCATCATCGCCATCACCACCATCGCTACCATCATTATCCCCATCACCACCATCGCTACCATCATCATCCCCATCACCACCATCGCTACCATCACCATCATCACCATCCATATGACCACCATCGCTACCATCATCATCACCACCATGTCCATTACCACCATCACAACCATCATCACCATCACCATCCCTATAACCACCATCGCTACCATCATTATCCCCATCACCACCATCGCTACCATCATCATCCCCATCACCATCACTACCATCATCATCCACATCGCCACCATCATCACCATCTACATCACCACCATCGCTGCCATCATCACCATCAACATCCCTATTACCACGATCGCTACCATCATCCCCATCACCACCATCGCTACTATCATCATCCACATCACCACCATCACTACCATTATCATCCACATCACCATGATCGCTACCATCATCACCCCCATCACCACCATCACCACCATCGCTACCATCATCATCCCCATCACCCCCATCATCCACATCACCACTCATCACCACCATCACCATCCCGATGACCACCATCGCTTCCATCATCATCCCCAATCACTATCATCGCTTCCATCATTATCCCCATCACCACCATGACTACCATCATCCACATCACCACCATCGCTACCATCATCACCATCAACATCCCTATGACCACCATTGCTACCATCATCCCAATCACCACCATCGCTACCATCATCATCCCCATCACCACCATCACTACCATCATCATCCACATCACCACCATCGCTACCATCATCATCATCCCCATCACCCCCATCACTACTATCATCATCCACATCACCACCATCACTAGCATCATCATACCGATCACCACCATCGCTACCATCACCACCATCACCATCCCCTATGATCACCATCGCTACCATCATCACCACCATCATCTACATCACCACCATCACTAACATCATCATACCGATCACCACCATCGTTACCATCACCACCATCACCA